ATGTGTGCAAGAGTGAAAGAAAATTTACAGTTTGGTCCAGGTCCAGGTGTCCAGGTCTAAGCAGAACATGTCCAACTCTGCTCCTTCCTGCAAATGTAAACTCAGATTTTAGGCATTGCTCTTGCCTGAGGCACTACACTTGGCTGTCTATGACTGCAGCACTCAGCATTAAAAGAAAAATATGAAGTACAACAACTTTATAAATTTGTGCACATCTGGACCGGTTATTTTGTAGCTGCTATTTTTAGACTGTATGTAAAAGAGGGACCGACATAGTCACCCCGTGATGGCCATTTAAGGAAAGTTCAAAGCACTTCCATATTTGCTACACTTTTCAGACCTGGAAGCTATGTCCATCCTTTATGTACAGTCTGGAAGTCCTGTTTGACTACTTTCTGGCTCTTCCACCAGTCTGTCAAAACAACAACACCTTTTTATTTTGAGGAGGAGGAGGACAAAGTTACAGGAAGTTACAGTCTGCCAAGTAGGGCAGGTGGTGTGTTAGTAATATGCTCTTGTTTTCACAAAACTCTAAAACGCCTCAGCCTCCTAGTAGACACACCTATGGTATCAATTTCAAAATCACCCTGTTCTCAAGTTATTGCATTCACAAACTTAGGTGTCCACGCCGCCCGATCAGTGGGGTGACAACAACACCCCATCACCCTTTTGCAGTTGAGGGGTAAAAAGCAGCTAATTTCCGGTTCAGCTCCACACAATCTTGTGAATGCTGCAGTGTCGATCCTCAATATTAAAGTCGAATTAAAAGAAAGCTTATGCAACAAAATCGGAAGCTTCCCACAAAGATAAGGCATATTAAATGTATGCCTTTAAGGCCACCAGTTATGCTGGTCTCAATGCATACTTGGCTCTCTCATCTTTCTTACAGGACTAGTTACATGCAAAGTTATTTTTTTTTCTTCTTTGTCTACACCATTCTGGGCAAGAAAGGTGTTATCAGCCTTTTAGAGCGCCTTGAGGTTTATGTTCATTGTGTGATCCCATGGGTGCTCACGTTACACTTTCAATCACACCTGTGGTGAGTGAAAATATATTTGCCTCTTTGTGTCTCCAAATAGAGAAGCTGCAAGCTGATATGAGTTGGTGCATTTTTTCAGTGTGAGCTCAGAAATATAGGCCTTTTATTACGACCTTTAGCATCTGAACCTGGACTTTGTCATATTTTTTACTGTATGACAGTCGAGTCAGTCTGAGGTCAGAACAGAATTTCTGTGGAGCAAACTAATAATATTGGCATGCTGGGAGAGGACTGGAGGTGTGGGAGGAGATAAACCTAAAAGGGGCAGCTGGGAAATTTAACGTGATTCTTAAATCCTGGAACTTTTTGGCATTTAAAATCATATTTTTGGAGAAATAAAGTTTTAAGAGAGTGACTGTTAATCTGCCATACACTACATGGCCCACAGAATATATATTATTGTTGAGCATCTCAATATAAAGCTATGTCCATTAATCTGGTGTATTTCTGCTCCACTTTTCTGAGATTTTCCCACCAGACTGTAGCTGCATTTGTAAGGTGGAACACTGTTTTTAGGTGATAAGCATTGACTTCCACCTCATCCCAGAGAGGGTGGATGGGATTGAGGTCAAGACTCTGTGCAGGTCAGTCAAATTCTTTCACACCAAAAAAGAAAACCATTTTTATAAAGGATCTGGCTTTGTGCATGAGAGTGGCTTCACGTCACAACAGGAAAGGGATGTTGAAACAGGAAAGGGCCTTCCCCAAACTATTACCACAAAGTTGGAGGCGGAGTATTGTCTAAAATAGCATTAAAGTTTCCCTTTGAGGACGACAAAAATGCAGATAAATCGATACAAAATAGGTTGCGTGCAAGAGTGTCTGCATATTTTTGGCTGTTTATGGTGTCATTAAGCAGCTCAGAAAAGTGAACTCACCACACCACCATTGATGTAACCTTTGTTCCCCAGCAAGGCACTGGCATGGCAGCCTCTGGGGGACGGAGCAGAACCCTGAACAAAAGAAAACACACCATTTTATTATAAAAAATCAGCAAAACACAAATTATAGTTTTGTGACATCATCCTTCTCCATTTATTTATTTATTTATTTATTTATTTATTTATTATAGGCCCACCCAGAGCATCATCCTTGCTGGTCTGATAAGCTTGACAAGAACTGATGAAGGTGGTGATCTTTCCCCACAACCATCAAACCGATTGCCCACAAAATGTTCCTCAGATGATGAAGCTTAGACCCGCAGCTTTTCCTGTAGCACCGCCAGCATTTCAATACAGTGTTTTTACCACTGAAACCTATCTCTTCGCTTTCAATTAGACCCTAATTTTTCTACATACATGAAAAACCTATTATATACCCACCATGCTGTCATATGGTATTCTATTATATGAGCATTGTAAACACAATGTAGGATATAGCTAAAACCTTAATTCCTTCTAATGGCCAGCAGGGGGCGACTCCTCTAGTTGCAAAAAGGTGTCTAATTGTGTACAAGTCTGTGGAAAAAACAGCCCTCAGCTCCCTTAATTACGATCTCAGTAAACACTTTATTTGTGAGTGTATTGTCTCAGTTGCTATTTTAATGTTTTATTAATTATTTCAAGGTATTAATTTAGTAAATTACAGATTTTTTTTTAAAAGTGTGGAATTTTTCAGCTGGGATCAACTTCTGCTCCAGTCATTTGGTTAAAGATAATAAAATATACCATTTTAGTGTGTAATGCTTCAAGGTCATAGGTCAAAGGTCAGACATCAGCGTGTTGTTAGAAAAGCAGGCTGATGTCAGCACGTTGTGATAAAACATCATAAAACATCAAAGGTTTAGTATAGCTTCTGGTACAGCTGTGTCTGAATACAGCCTCTGAGAACTGCTAGCATGGTTATAGCCTAATAGTTCAAAAGTAAGACCATCTTATTGTTTTACTCACTTGAGTCTCTGGCATGCTCCATGTAGCTGTGAGTGTATCAAACACATTCACCTCACTGTTCCATCCCTTGCACAGAGTTACTTCATTTACAGCTCTTGACTAAAAAGAAAAACATATCGATCATCATTAGTAAAACAACGATTAACCAATAAATTGGCAACCAAAGTTCTATGTCAGAGTAATATCTACCCAGGACATCTCTTCTAAAGTGAAGTTTGATGACGATGTGTTTCGTAACTCCCTCAAGGTCTTGCATCCATATCCACCAAAGTAGATCAATCTGCACAGAGACAAAATATGAGACAATACTGCTCTTTTAACTTTCATTTACAAATGAAATTACTGAAAGCTGGAAGAATTTGTGAAAAAACAATACAAACAAACATCCTTCAATTAAACAAAACAATGAGGTGAAGGTGCAACATAAACCACTGCTATTTGTATTTGTAAAACTGGGGCTGCTATTCATTGACAGCTTGTGTATTGTAGTAACTGACCTGCCTCTGTGTACCCAGCAGGAGTGTTTGTTACGAGGTGAGGGGGTCGTTCCCTTCGTGTCAGTCACTCTCTTCCATGAGCAGCACGGCTCAGAGAGGTCAACGCTGAACATCTACAAACACCGTTCAATTTATTAGACAAAATAAGAAAAATACACTCGCTGGCTACTTTGGTAGGTACACCTGATCAGTTGCTCCTTAATGCAAATATCAAATTAGCCAATCATATGGTCAAATGCACTTAGGCATGTTAGACATGGCCAAGATCAAACTGTGGATCAGAATGAGGAGGAAAGGGGATTTAAGACTTTTAATGTGGCATGGTTATGGTGGCAGATGGGTTGATCAGAGTACTTCACAAATTGCTGATCTACTGATTTTTTCCACACAACCATGACTAAGGAGAGAATGGTCAGAAAAAAGAGAAAATATCAAGCGAGTGTCAGTTCTCTGGGGGAAAAAATGCCTTGTTGACACATCAGAGGAGAAACCAAACTGGTAGGAGCAAATTTGCCATAAACAGCATGAAAGCAAGGATCCATGCTACCTTGTATCCATGGTTTAGGTGGTAATGGTGCAGGGGATATTTTTTCAGCACACGGTCTAGCCATCTAGCCAATTTTTAATGCAAACCTTCTTTTTAAAGGAGTTCCTGGCTGCTTGTGTTTGTATTTTATTGTCAAAAACGAACCACAAATTCTTGACTCTTAATTTTGCATATTATATGGATGGTAAACCCACACTGCTTATGCACCTTTTCATTTTAAAAGCCATTCTTTGTGAACTTCTAGTCTGCCTCTACAGAGCTTTCACACGCTTCAAATAGCGATCAGAACAGATGATCGAGCTGGATAATCTCCAGTCTCTACAGAGTCTGGTATGAGCCTGGCAAAACAGCATTTGTGAATTGTACACATACACGCACACGCACACACACGGTGCTTGGAATAATACACAAGACAAACTGCATTTGGAGACTGTCTTCATACCCTGAATCAAAACACCACAGTCAAAACATGAAGTAGATGAATCTCCTTTATGCCTCTCTAAACACTGATGTGCAGACAAGCCCCTGCGACTCTGGGGCAATCTTTATGCACATCCGATCACATTGTCCAATCTTTCATAGAAAAGGTCAGGCTCTGAGTGAGTTCTTCTTAAACATTATCACAACAATGACGTCACACAGCTGAGCCCGTTTTCAGAAGAGACAAATATTTGATGACCTTTGAAAAAGTCAAACAACTATCACAGCTTTCTTTTAAAAAAAAAAAAAGCTCAGAAGACTTACTCAAATAGTACATCTGAAACATAATGAACAATATTACACTTTTAAAAAAAATACATAACTTCTAATGTGTTTCTCCTGGGGAAGGAGGCATGCACACCGCTGCACATACATGTAAAGTGTCAAGTAGTTATGCAAGGAATTTTGTTTTGTCAGTTGTTTTTTTTAGAAACCCCTAGAAAGTGAGCCTTATCTGCTTTCTTACTATCGTGCATCTTAGTAATATTGTGCTGAAACTGACTTTTTAAAAAAATGTTTGCTTTTTTGCAAGTTACCAAAAAATGTAAAGTCTGATATCAAAAGTTGCCGGGCGGGTAGCTGGGTGTAGTTAACTATCCTTCAAACAGTTCTGCTGAAGTATGTACTCCCACTGTGAGCAAGTCTAGCAAAGTTCAGAACGATAACTTGATCTTGAACTTGAACAAGAACAACAGTGCCAAGATGCTGATGCCTCTCAGGTCTAACATTTACACCAGTTCAAGTCACTAGCTAACTTTTTGACTTTGTGTATGCTAATATTTGCTCATTATATCAAAGACAAAGTACAGTCAGTGTATAAATGCAATGTTCCAATGTGAATGAGACGTTTTAATTTTGAATTGTAACTTATATATATGTATAAGAGCTGCCATGGTGACAGTTTGGAGGTAAGGATGGGAGTAGGAGGGAAGGTACACTTTCATGTCCATTCTTCTAAACCAGGATTACATGTTTGTACAACTCATTTACCAAATTTCACAGTAAACTATCTGACAGGAGCAAACTGGTAGGCAAATTGTCACTGATACATTTACACCCAGTCAAATAGAAAGGCTAAAATAATTTTCCAACAGTTTCACATGTTACCATGAAGTTAGTTAAGTGAAATAGTGAACTTATACTGGTCATATATGTGAATGTGAGCGTGAATGATTGCCCTGCTGACTAACAACCCATTTTGGATATACCCCACCTCTTGTTCTATAACAGTTGGGATAGTCTCCACCCCCTTAACGACCCCAAATTGGATAAGCTGAAGAAAATGGATGGATGGAAGTAGCTGGAGCGCTGTTAACAGCATGCTCTGAGAAACTGCAAAAAACCTAAGAGCTCAAACTCTATAGGCCTCTGTTAACATGTTAAATGTAGAAGTTCATGGCAGTCCAGTTGTCAAGTACGGTGGTGGATGGTTAATGATTATAGGGCTTATTTTGCAGCCACAGGAGCATGAACTCCTCTAGATGTGGGGACATCTCTGCGACAACTTAAAACTTCCTTGAAACTGAGCCATACAAGAGGGGATTTACTTAAGTACTAATATCTGCATGGAAAAGTTCTTACCCTGCAGAAAATTGTTCAATTAGTGTCTTTCAATTAGTGAAACATGTACACTGGCCCATTTTTAACTTACCACCGTGCATTTGTTGGTAGAGCTGAATTATTCTGAACCAACAGGGCTATGCAATCTGCTGTCAGACACTCACTACAGCTTGAGTGAAAGCTCAATAAATAAAAAAAAAGACTACAAGAAAAGGAACCAAGCAAGTGAACGCCATGGAGCGCATGATTTGCCAGTCCAAGATAAGAAAATCACCGTAAAGAAGAAAATGAAAATCCAGATTCTCCAGCATCCATAGGATAGTGCCAAGATGTCTAAGTGTCGACATCTGGCAATACCAGAAGTATTTTAATGAAAGATATGATCATTTAAAATAAGATGAGTTGAGATAAAGAATACTGGAATATGTTTACACTAAAAAGTTTAGTGTTATGTTTTCAAGAGGAAGTAATGGCTGTATTCATGTTAAAGACTATTTAAATTGGCTGAACAAGACAAAAAAAGAAAATCAATGTCCACACCTCAACCAAGCTGAAACGCTGTCACACAACCTTGTGCATAATTATTTCCTCTGCTGAAGTTTTTCAGACACTATCTTTGGATTTTGATGGATGAACGTGGTAAGTACCAGATGATTTATTTTATTATGTCCTGATACATAAAACCATAAAATTGAAAGAAGGTTTTTGTATGACTGTAGAAGTTTAAGCATTTATCTTTATCAAACGTGACGCTCAGGTCTGAGTTGGAACAGAATGTGTGGCCCAGCATCTCACCTGGTTGGAGTACCCAGCTGCTTCATATCCTCCAAAGATGTAGAGTTTAGTGTTAATATTAGCACCGCAGAAGGCCGACAGGTTTGGTGGGATGTCTCCAGTCATCTCTCTCCGCTCCCTGCAAAGACAAAAACGTTAAAAAAAACGCCTGTAAAAGATAAGAAGGTAAAGCCTTAGAAATCTTAAACACACCTATAAGTAAACACTAAGAAAGGTTGGCTTTGGTTTTAGTTGACCTGACTCAAATAACCATAAAATAAAAGGCTGTTTTTTGAATCTGTGTTCTTATACAGCCTGCTAAGTCACTTTTATCTAGTTTGTCCTATCCTCTGATACATGACACACCGTTTATCTCAGCTGATAAACAGCCCTCATTTGATCTTACCACATCCCACTGACTAAATCACAGAGCCATATCTCATCACTGGGCAACACGACATCCTGTCCGGCAACTACCTGTGAAGGAACAAAGACAAGATAAAGCTGTGAATGTCCTCTTTTGTTCACTAAAGCTGCACATTGCTGAAAAGCTGTGGTGACTTTAGATGGCTGATGGACATAGCAACAACCTGGATGCAGCAAGATGCAGTTTAAAAAAAATGTTTCTTGTTGAAACATGCTCCTGCAGCTAAGGATTCCTAGAAGGATATTTGAAATCTCCAGTTCATTTGCCAAGTTGGTTTCCGCAGTGTTTTTTTAAGCCTACATATACAGTCACAAACGCACTGAACCAAAACAACTGTTCACTTTGAATTAAAGTGAACAGTTAAAGTGAACAGTTACACAAAGGTGCTTTGTGTAACTCACTCAGTTCAGTAGCAGCTCAAGCTGTAATACATTTCAACGACACATGCTGGATGCATGTCATTTGTCGTCCTCATCATATAAATACGAACACTGATATACTCCGGTAATTTATTCCTTTAGGATTCAATTTCCTCAAAGTAAACACAGCGAGGACGCAGAGTTACCATAGAAGCAGTCTCCAGTGACTTTTTCTTTAAATTTATTGTCATGACGTGGCTCCGCGTAGAAACACCTGCACCTAATCATCCAGGTAAAGAGAGGAAATTCTAGAAAGTCCATTCTCTTCATCATCAGTGCGAGACTGAATAAGTCATTTGGATGAGTGACGAAACGTTTCCCCCATGACGTTCAGATGAACAGAATCAAATTTTGGGGACCTGCACAGGTAGCGAGGCTATAATTACACCTCGGCTCATCTTACCTGGTAACCTCCCCACACATACAGCGTATTGTTGTGTATGAAGGCGGTGTGGCTGCTCCTCTCCAGCGGGCTGACCGGCGCGTCTCTCTGAGCAGCATCCATCCCAGCTCTGCGCTCTGACACTCCTGCCTGATGAGCAGCGTCACGTCGCCCAAATAAAAACCGCCGAAAAGTGCTTAACGAAGTTTAAGGTGAATGCTGTGGCGGCTCAGAGGACCTGATCATGTCGCTCTGGCTCAGAGAAAAGTGCCGTCTGGATTGGAGGCTTTGCGGAACGTGTTTTTCAGGCTTGCTGCCTTTGCTTACTCCTCCCATAAGCATGAGCCCTTCATGCAAGTTCGGCACACCAAAGTGCACTGAGGTATTGCGTGTTTAGAATACCTAAGTGATTAAGAATCATTTGTTTAGATGGGCCGCATGATTCTCTGTGATAGAGTGAAATATAATCATGCTAGTATACTTAACAATAAACAGGCAGGTTAGAAGCAGTGAAGTGGATATTTTAACACCCCAAACACAGATGAAATCAGAACATAGAAGTGTCAAGTATGGCAGGTAGGTTTGGTATTAAGGAATCTGCTCCGAGTGTTACATCTGTTCCTTTTCTTGTCAACCTGTTATACAGCCAATACTTCTCCCTCCACTACATATTAATGGTCATCCACTTCCTTCTGCAGGAGCTCTTTGTCTCTAAAAGCACATTTCAAGGTTCATGTTAAACTTGGACTCAACTAGAGTAGCTTTGCATTATTCAGTTTAAAATAATCCTTGTTTTTCCTCATACTAGTGTTTGTTACAGCCCCATAGACTGTTTTAGGGCCTCTTGCTTTAAGCCATCCTTCTTCTGATTGGTAAACATAAGGTCTGTGGGACTGCCGTGTGCCACATGTGACCATATAAGGGATATCCAAGCTCAATGAACTAAAACAGAGTCCAGAGTGAGGATCAAACTATCTGTTTAGAGCACTTTGAAGCATCAGCTTTTGTCATTTATAAATATTGATTTCACTATTCGCAATTTTGGTATGTTTTTATCTTAATATAAGGATCCCCTGATGTATCTGTATAAATATGACAGAAAATGATGAAAAGCACAAAATGTCCATCTTAAAAGTTGTTGAAAACAGGAATTTCTCTTCTATCTTTTCTACATGTAAAGACACACCCAAATTCCTACAATGATTTCAGTGTGACAGATGGCGATGAAACTAACTTCCTGACTTCCTTATTGCACAGAGGAACTTGTTAAACAC